TATATATATATATAAATAAATATATATATATATATATATAAATAAATATATATATATAAATATATATATATATATATAAATATATATATAAATATATATAAATAAATAAATATAAATATATATATATAAAAATATATATAAATAAATAAATATAAATATATATATAAATATAACTCCCTTATCTTCGTTTTCTGAAGAGACCCCCCTCCATCCACTTCTTCTCCCCCTTTCCTCCTTTACCATGGGGAGCTCTCGAAAACCACCTGATCTCGTACTCCCCTTACATGCTCTATTGTGGGCTTATATGGGCTCAATTATCTCCGAGCTCAGGGTTCTCTCCCAGGACCGCATGCCAAATCTCCTAATAGTTTCAAGCAATATTTAAGTGAGAACTCTTGAAACCCATATAAAAAAAAATTATAAAAAAAAATAAAAACAAGAGAGAAGAAGTCAGTATGTAAAACAACATGCTTTAATAAAAACAACAAAGCTCCAGGTTCAGTGTCTGCAGACCAGACTCTGGGTGCAATGCTTTTGAAGACATAATTGGATAAAAAAATAAAAAACAAAACCTGCATACTTACAAAATCATCTTTTGTATACTTGCAGTCGATCATCTGAGACAGATAAAAGATGACAGGGAGGAAGTACTGGTGTAAAATGAAATTAGCATTTCTAAATCACTCCTTACCTTGTATTGTGTAGTACAAATATAACTAACACAGAAAGCCAAATAAAAACAGATTTAACTTTTTTTCTTCTTTTGAATGTTATGTTAAATCAGCTTTTAACCCCCCTGAACTGTGCTGAAAGGGTCTGTCATTTCTAAACGCGTGTAAGCAGCAGGAGTCGAGTTATTTCTTTGCGAAAGAGATTTTCATAGCATTGCTCTGTGTGATCTTAAAGCCTTGCAAAGCTTCTCTGGCTGCTCCGGCCTGCACCTCATTATCAAACTCCACAAAGGCGATATCGTGGCGGCCAGGGACAAGACGAACTTCCTTGAATCCAGGGAACCTATATAAAAAAAAAATAAAGAAATTAGCAAATATATATAAAATATGTTTTAAATAATATGGAATGCTACCAGCCCCCTCAGTGAACAAGTAGCAAATACTCACTGGTTGAACAACATGGACAGCATGAGCTCGTTGGTCTCCTCTGGGAGATTGGTGAGGAACAGGATGTGGTTGGGAGGGTTTTCCGACACCTACAGGCAACGCAACAAATGTTACTGTCTAGGGGTTTTCCAGTTCATCTTGCATGTATGATGTCTGTATATACAGTTAAAGTCAGAATATTAGCCCTATTAAATTACTAGCCTGTCTAGTTATCCTATTCGTTGTTAAACATCATTTGGGAAATATATAAAAAAAAAAAAAAACTTTTAGGGGGGGGTCAATAATTCTGACTTCAACTGTATCAAAGACATAATTTGCTCCTCAATTTCAGTTTACAACTTGTAAATTGTTTTAAATTTAAAATTGTATTATACAGTATACATCAGTGTAAAACCTATTAATGGTGGAAGAACATATTCTGAAATAATAAAACCATCTGGGTCTCCACTTTTGCATGGCCTCTATTTTATTTTAACAAATTTATCCTTAAGATTTTTTTTAACTTTTACAAAAACTTTCCTCCTTTCCCACTGCTGTTGCAATTTCTAGTCAAGAAGTATTGATCATCTGGTTCTACTTCTCCCTATGATCACGAATGGAAGGATCATAAAGATGATGCGTGTACAGTCATACCCGTTTCAAGCTTGTGTCCTAAAAGGTTGAAAACCCCTGCTTTAAAATACCACCGATTGGCCATTGGGTTTACATTCTAGATACGACTTTTCACCTCAGGCTGTTCACAGAGCAATTACTCAAACACTGGGGCATTTGAAAGCCTGATTTATCAAACGATCAGTCAATGAGAAGATTTAAAAGTTATCCTCTCATTAATTCGCTAATAAATGTGGCTTTCAAATGTTCCAGTGTCCAAGTACAAGCATTCAGTGAAGAGCCTGACGTAAAGATCATTGTATCAAATCACAGTAGTTTTCAAAAACCCATTCAACACTTAAACTGCAAGCTGGAAATGCTACATACCATACTCTTCTTTTACATTTCAGAACAAATACAAGAATTGGAGGTAAACCTAAAATAGTGCAAATAGTTCAGGAACTCTGAAAGTAGGGTGCGAAGGTGCATTGTTAGTATTAAAATGTAGTTAAAGTAATGTATTCACACATTAAAAGGTACAGTCTTGGCAATGGCCATCCAGTATTTTGTTCTTGAATTGATCAGTTTTTAAACCAATCAAAAGAGGCAACAATTCAATGACACTTTCATAAAGGCAGTCATTCATACAGTCAGGACAAGCATAAAAAACCCCATTAAAATATAAGTTATGTTATCAGCAACCACTGCTTAAAATGGTCAAATATACGTTGAGCTTTAATAATAAAACCGCACACAAAATCTGAATACAAACCATGTCTAGTTTATCACAAACCTGCTGTGGCATCTGGCCTGGCATTTGTCCTGGCATCATCCCACCTGGTGGCATGGCACCTGGAGGCATCTGTCCGGGTGCCATGTTTGGTGGAGGCATCATACCAGGAGGAGGCATGTAGGGAGGCTGGCCAGGCATTGGCATCATGCGAGGAGCTTGACTCATAGGTGGCATTCCCTGCAGGTGAAAAAACCAAAAGACTAAATTATTAACAGCTTTAAAAAAGCCAGCATATAAATTCACTAAAACTCCAAATCTACTAACAGGAATAGCAGCAGGTACTCCAGCCATAGCAGGGGTGGCACCAGAACCTCCCTTCTTCCCGGCACCAGCTTCTGGGACTTTAGGCTTCTTCTTCTCTTTCTTACGGTCTCGCTCCACAAATGTTCCTTTCATTTTTGCAATGATATCAGAGTCCTGCTTTGAATACTGAATACGCTGTGAACAGATTAAATTGTAAAAGTCATTTAAGTACACGGTGACCTAGTGCATTCACTTGTAAAACAATACATTTGCTTCAGATTCACCAAGCATTCATGCTGTTATAAGCAACTGAACCTACAGACCAACATCCAAAATATTACTGTGTGCTATGCTAAATGCATTTATGTGCAAACAAGACTTTTTAATCAGCTGACAGCTTGTAAAGATATGTAAAGTAGTTCATGTCATACAAACATTTTGATCTACTACAAGACTAGGCCTGTGCAGTATGACAATAAGTATCACATGAACAAAATAAAAAGTCTATCATTTTATATTATGCTCGATATCATGATGTTACGTAATACATGGTTTACAGTAATACTTTCATAATTTATGAGGGAAATTTTTAAAACTGAAACATGAACGTGAGAAGTATAAAATATAGAATATATAAAATTTGTAGTAAATGTAAAAAAAAAGAAGAAAAAAAAAGAAAAAAGGAAAAGAAATCCCCGTCCATGTGGTCATTGTATATAAAACTATCCTTTTATTGAATTTACAAAAAAGGTACCATCATGATACTGTTACCAGGAAAAGAGATGACATATCTTAATATGCGCTATTTTGTCAAATTGCACAGCCCTATGCAAGACGATAATTTACCAACACTGTAACACCAAGCATATTTTAAGTCCCAATGAAACGGAAGCAGTGATTGTTATTTATTTATTTTTTTTGTATTGTGATGCAGTTCCTAGAGAAGTGGAATAAAAAAATAAGAAAACTGTGGCCGTCGCTTGTTTTTTTTCTACCGGGGACTGAATGGATGTAGTAAAGTAGGCACTTCATTCAGAAAAATGGGGAAAAGTTTTATTATTTTTTTTAAGAGTCATTACTGCCTAACATACTCCTGCTCACCATTTCTGTTTGTTGTCAAAACTGACAGTTGAAGGAGCTCGATTAAATGTTAGTCACACTTATTACCTCAAAATCACGTAATCTGAAAATTGAAAAACAAACAGGTAGTGCATTTTCAGATTTCAAATAAGGATTAGCAGGGCAAACTTTTTTTTTTCTTAATGACATGCACAGATGAATTGTTCACCACAAAACTGGCAATGTAAGCCAGCAAAATCCAACGGTTAGTTAGTTTTGATTTCATGGGGACTTTATGTACTCTGTCTTTTTAATGGTGACATCTTGTGACAATGTCATCATAAAAACACCATATATCAGCCTGTGACCGTTTACAAAATAAAAACATAAAATAAAAGAAATGTGTGATATTTTACTTTACTGCATTTTTTTTACATCTCCTTTCTTAAAATTGTAAGTTCATGTCTCAATATTCGCAGATTATATCTTAAAAATATATAGATAAATAAACTGTGCGGAAAAATAATCATCAATACCCAAAATAATCAAGATTTACCATGGGTTTGTCATAAAATGGGAAGCCCTGCATTGAACGGAGGGCGTTGGAAGCACTGTTGATCTCTTTGAAGATCACAAAGGCCTGACCCTTCATTTTCAGTGTACGAGAAACAAGGATGTCCAGGATTTGGCCAAACTGTGAGAATATAGCATACAATGACTTTTTCAGCTCTGTAAAAAGAGGAAAGAGGAAAGAGTTACAACGTAAACCACATGCTAAAACAATGACACAAATAGCTAAAAAAATCAACTTAAAAACGTACCGTCTTTTTTGATCTTCTCATTCAAGTTGTTAATGTAAATGGTGTGGTTTAGTCTCATCTCCTGGCCCGCCATGATCCTGCAATAAACAATAGGACCTTTTCTTAACGAAAACAAGAATGTCTAAAACAAAGAGTAATGCATCCCTCAATGTGCACATACAAGTTAAATGTGACACTAGAAATTAATCGCAAATATGCAATTCCTTCCGAGTAAAAAATGTTGTTAACTTCAAAATTAAATTACGCTATAAAACTTTGAATGACTGAATTGCCTCGTTTGAACGAAAGCTAGCGAGATAGCTTGCCAGCTAACTTAATTAATGAATTATTGCACTCGTTTTACTACATCACCAAACGCAACACGTGTTTGAGATTATAAAAACAATTTAATTGGCATTAATTTAACATAATAAAAACGCATGCAATAATATATAGATTTACTCACAATTATTTTAGAAGCTCCAACCAGCTTTAACATTCGACTGAAAATCCACACACAAAAAGAGCGTGCTACTTCCGCTTGGAAATCCGCCTATATTAGTAACGATTTGATTGGACGACTGACTTTCGTGCTACCCACCGACTGGTTGTTTGAATAAATCTTCTTCCAACATGACTTTCTCGTTGGATGGCAGTTCATCCTATGAACTGATTGGTGCTTTGGTCGTGTTGCGCTGTTTTCAGTTCGGGTTTCATCGTGTTGAGGAAGGGAACTATATAAAGTGCAGCTTCTAATATTGAACGAGAGCATATCATTTTGTTTGTTAAATTAAAACGATTCTATTTTTTCAATGATGGTTAATGTTAATATTTATATGGATATTTTTACATTTTTTTCGTGACTTACGACCATGGGAATATATGACCTTATTTGGTATTCTCTAAGTTGGGAACACTCACTGCAGCTGGAGTTCACAGTCAGTTAACGTTACCAGCAGATAGCGAAATAACTTACTGGACGCTGATGTGGGTTCGTGTGATTTTAATTAAGTGCATGTAACTAACACTCCGTTTTAATGTCGCTTTCTTGTCACTTTATCGTTAAGTAGTTATTAGTTGCACGCGCATGACATCCTATCTTGTATATCACAATATACCCTTAAATGTTGCTTATGTATTTTATCCTCATTCCCTCCCCAGTGTACAAGTGTCTGTACAAGTACTGTAGTATGTCATTGGAAAACGATGCAGCAGCACCTCCACCTCCTCCTCTACCTCCCCCACCTCCTCCTCAACCTCCTTCACTGGCGCGCTCAGAGTCCAGCAAGAAGAAGCTTTACCAGGCTTTAGCAGAGGGAAGGACTGCTGTAGAGGGAGACTATGAAGAGGCCAGTATTATTATAGGACAGAGAGAAAGCAGGTGGACTACAAATCACAATTACATACTTATAAAAGACATGTTCTGTACAGTCATGATTTCATCACAGTATTTCTCCTTTAAGTTTTAGCAAGGATCTGCAGTGGCTGCTGTTTAATAACTATGTGCCCTCACTCATTCAAGATGGTCCCCAGTAAGTAAAAAAAAAACATTACTTATTGATGTATTTATTTATTTATTTTTGGGTGGACAAGACCAATATGGCTGATATAAACCACCAGGGGTCTAACAATGTATCGTGGTACAATTATTTGCAATACAAAAATGTCACAATATGCATCGTGGCATTATGACTATTTTATTGCGTTATGACATCTGTTTTCTCTTATTGGTTGAGCTCATAGGTTGAGCTACAATACACATGCTGTCACATGCATTCAGATTGCTTGATCTAGCAGCAGTAGCAGGCCAATATGAGTGCAGCTGAAATAGAGGATGCCCCGTCCTCTTATAAGTCCAACATGTGGCAACATTTCGGTTTTCCAGTCACTAAAGAGGATGGTAACAACAAAACACAAACTGTAAAGACTGTAAAAAAAATGCTGCCATACTAATCTGCGAACAGCGAATATGATGTGCCCTTTAAGCCGTCACCACTGCAAAAGACATGATACCATTTTCTATGGTCGACAAAGTTGTATTTTGCGAATTGAATATGAATAAAATATCGTGATGCATATTTTATCTTAAACATCATACTGTGATACACATTATATCGTGGGCTGAGTGTATTGTTACACCCCTAAAAAGCACAGATATTCACACTGGCCACTTTATTAGATACAGCGTTTAATACTATATTGGACTGGCTTTTGCTTTCAGACCTGCCCTTAATTTTTCTGGTGTTGGAAATTGTCAATATTGACTTATTATCATCATGCAGTTGCTACATATTTTTTGCCTGCACATCCATGATGGGAATGGACTACTTTATACATACCAAACGTGTTATTGAATTGTGATCTGATGACTGTGGGCGATATTTAAGTTTAGTAAAGGTACTATCAAAATTAAACTGATAGTGATGTTCACAACTGAACCTACAAATTTGATTTAGCTCTAAAGTATCTCTACACAAGACAGTGTTGTCATTAAACACCAGTTTATTTCATTGTTTTTTCTCATACTTTCCTCATTCCCTCATTCATTAAAACTGATGATATGAATTTTGAGGGTCTTTTAAACGTGTGACTCCAGATATTGATTCTATAATTATATTACTGTATTTTAGACCAATAAAAACATTGTTAAAAACTACTTTCAAAGTGGGAAAACGTTTGGACACAATTTTTCTCAAATATACAGCAGGCAAAACAAATTTTCATACAGTACACAGTTAATATGAAATCATTATTCTAACACTTAAAGGGTTAATTTACCCCAAAATTAAAACTCTATTATTAATTTCTCAACCTTATGTTGATCAGATCCCCTGAGCCCTTCTTCAGAATACAAATTAAGATTTAATTCAAGTTAAAAACATTGTAAAGCTTTAGTGGTTCATCATGCAAAGCTCCATAAATGCGTTTATGTTCAAAAAAATCCTGTAAAAACAACTTTGCTTACCAATGTCGTCTTCTGCATCAGTTCAGGGTGCACATTTGCTACAAGCAGTATGATGTATTGCATTAGAGTCAGCAGCACAACACACAATCAATGTATTGCCTGTAGTAAGCATGCATCCAGATCTGATGTGGAAGATGGTCCTGGACTTTAACATCTCGGGCTGATGGTCTTTGGAGGATGAGAGAGCTCCTAAATGTCATCTAAAATAGTTAAATATATGTTCTGAAGGTGAACCATGCATCTTGGGGAATTGTAATGACATAAGGGTACTTATTTAATGACAGATTTTTCTATTTGGGTTAGTTCATTCGTTAAGACTCTACATTAAGTTGAATTAGGGTGTCACGGTGGCAGAGTGGGTATAGCTCAATCGCCTCACAGGAAGAAGGTCGCTGGTTCGAGCCTCTGCTGGGTCAGTTGGCATTTCTGTGTGCATGTTCTCCCTGTGTTCGCGTGGGTTTCCTCCAGGTGTTCCGGTTTCCCCCACAGTCCAAAGACTTGCACTAAAGGTGAATTGGGTAAGCTAAATTGTCTGTGTGTGAATGAGTGCATATGGGTGTTTCCCAGTGGTGGGTTGCAGCTGGAAGGGCATCCATTGTGTAAAACATATGTTGGATAAGTTGGCGACCCCAGATTAATAAAGGACTAAGCTTAAAAAGAAAGAAAATGAATGAATCAGGTTGAATTAGTTGAATTATACAGAACATTGTAATTGAATGCTTGAGCAAAACTAGAAGGATTTACCATCATCCATTATATGAGATTTTCATAAAATCAATAAAGTATAATTATTCTAGAATTTCTACAAGAAACTAAACTAGGGTAAAGTAACTAGCAATGTATTAATCCCTTTACATTAGCGCTCATTAGAGCAGGCACAGAGTTTTTTTAAGCATGGTTTGAAAGATTTGGCTGTGCACTTGATGTTAAAATAACAGTACATATCATGAGCAAAAACTGAAGTAAACATTGTGTTTTATTAGCCAAACATATGAGTTTTTATCAGTGTTGTTGTCATCTATATGTTCTTTTTTCTTCAATAATTCATCTTTGTTTAGAAATAGTTCTGATTGTAAATTATAAATTGAATATGAATTACTAATGTTTCCATGATTATAGCCAATGCTGCTGATTTTGCAACAAAACATGAATGAATAAATAAATTTATTGGCCAAACATAAAAATATATACAGGCTCATGGCTATCCTTCCAAATGTCCGCTGATGTATCTGTGGCCCACGAAACACAGCAGTCCACTGGAATGTGTCTTTTATTGGTTCGTTTTACTGGCTGTGCACTTCAGGAGGATGTTTGATTGCTCTTGTATAAATCTCTTCAGATGTGGTCTTGTGGCCTTATGGATGGCGGCTCATTTACTCCAGCCTCCTAAAACGCTGCTCCTGGAAACTCTAGTGCAGACGGCAAAAGACAATGGCTACACTGAACAAGGAGAAATGTTTTCTGGTAAACAGTTATTTTTAAATGTCATCTTTGAACTAAATGTAACCAGCACACATTTAATAGTCAAAGCGATGTTTGAATTAAATGATAGGTCGTTATCTCTGAAATTTAAAGATTTCTACTGAATGTCTTTAAATATTTCTTGAATTAGCTGAAAAGTTTATATTTAATTTTTTTTCTTTTCTGTTTTGAAATAGCCAGTGACATGGCCAAGCTGGCGGAGGACGTGTGCGGGTGCAGAGTTCAGAGGTTGTCAGGAGGCATGCTGGGAGAAAACACTGCTGTCATTCTTAAACACCTCATTAACAGGCAGCCCATTCTTATACCGTATCTTTACTGCTTACATTTGTAATCTCTTATGTAGGTTCACATGTTTTTACATAGTTTTTTTATTATTATTATGTTTTATTTTTTATATTTGTGTATTTTATTCATTTATTTGTTTAATATATTTTAGTTAATTGCTATAAAAAAAGAATCAGAAAGATTATTATTATTATATTATTTAATATAAAAGTGTTAATGGCGACGCCGTGGTGCAGTAGGTAGTGCTGTCGGCTTACAGCAAGAAGGTCGCTGGTTCGAGCCTCGGCTGGGGGTTGGCTTTTTTGTGTGGAGTTTGTTGCATGTTCTCCCTGAATTCGTATATATATATATATATATATATATATATATATATATATATATATATATATATATATAATATTATATATTATAATCTTTTATATTTAATTTTTAATACACACACACACACACACACACACACACACACATATATATATGATGTAGATATAGATTGATAGATAGATAGATAGATTTAAATTAAATATAAAATATTATAATATATGATATTAAATATATATAGATTAATAATCTTTGTACTTATTATTTATAAAATTTACCACTAGGTAAAATATATACATTTAATTTGAATTTTATAAAACATTTTTAAAATTAGTATTATTACTATTTTGTTTTGTTTTAAGCTTTTTACAAATATTTTTTAACCACCATATTTCTTTTTTGTTTTGGTCTTTATAAAAATATATATATATATACTGGCAATATATTTTATTACAAGATATTCATTTTAAATCATTGTTTTCTGATATGTTTTTATTGCATCACAGGGCCACATCTTGTGTTCTTATTTTTTCAAATACATGTGTAAGCGTTTTTATTAATATAATGTTATTATATTTTCTATTTGCCACTTTCATTTTTATCCAAACATTTTCCCACAAAACTATTGTTACAAAGTAAGATGCATTTATAATTTAATGAACCACGATTACTCAAATGATTTGTAGAATTGTCCCTGACTGCTCTTACACAGATATGACGAGGATTTTAATCATGAACCCTGTCTACGCAATGGTCACAAAGCCCACTGGGCAGTTGCCTCAGGTCAGACTGCATAAAAAAGACAAGTGACAAAGTTATACACAAAGTAGGCCATTCCTCAGTGTGTTGATGCATCTGTCTTTCCCCAGGTATTTTACTCGGCTTAAGAGAAGGTTGTGTGAACTATAAACATTTCCCCCCCGACATCACTCTTCCCTGGCTTCGTCTTGCTCAGAGTGAAGCCTCTGTCTCGTGGCCCATTGATGACATTGAGGAGGTGTTTGTTCTGGCCAAGCAGGGAAAGAGTCTGCGCTACCAGCTGTGGGAGTTTGAGTCTGTAGCGCAGAGTAACAAACAGCTGAAGGAGATGGACCCTCAGAGAGCCAGTGATGGGACGAGGTACGTGCTTCCTCCTGGAGGTGTACAGGATGGTCTGGCTGGACAAGTGCTGCTGCTTCACACAAACACAGAGCAGACTAAGAACTGAGCAATAATGCATTTCAGTTTTCATCCACTAGGTGTCCTTATAGTTAAAGTGATTATGACTAAACTTTAACGGAGGAAGCAATGGGGTTTTTCTTTTATATTAATATAGTTATATAGTTATATAGTATTACATACTGTGACGATGGTAAAAAAAAAAAAAATCTATATATATATATATATATATATATATAATAAAAATAAATATATTTTTATTTTAAATATTTATTTAGATTTAGATTTTTTTATCATCGTAACTCCAAATCCCACTTTTGCTATACAAAAAAAAAAAAACTTGGATGATGTAACATGGAATGATAAGAAAAATAAAGAAAATGACAAAAGTGTAATAAACATAAGCAAATAAATAATTAATAATTGTTGATAAATACTGCAGGTAGAGATAAAGAAATAGTCATAATTTTACATCAGCAATTTCAGCAAACGTAACAGCCATATTATTCAGAGAAAGCAATGGAGTTACTACTTTTTATAAGTATATTTAATGTTTTCATATCAGCAATTTACAGTATAAATTCAATTTACAAGTAAACGCTACATATATTTTACCCCACCATAATTTATCCACCCTATACTATTCTTGCTAGATAGTACACTTAAATGGATCTCATTGCAAGGCATTGAGCTAATATGTAACATCGAAAAAAAGGAAAAATAACAAAAGAGCAATAAACATAATATGCATAAATAACAATAATTGATGATATATACACTAATGCAAAAGGTAAATTTATTTATATAGCACATTTTATAAACAGTGGCAGTTCAAAGTTATTTACATAAACAGGAATAAAAGAGACAAGTATTAGAAAATAAAATCAAGTGATTAAAAACAGATTGAAATGTGTTAAAACAGGTTATAAAAGAATGAAAAAAGAAAAGAAAGACATAACAGTGTGATCTGTCAGATCTCGGATGTAGCACAGTGCTAATTCAGTAAAGACACAGCTAAACAGATGTGCTTTCAGTCTTGATTGTAGTTGAAAGACAAAAAGAAATAAGTTACCTTGTTATATCAGCAGTTTCAGTCAGTGTAACATCCAAATATTCATGTATGCAATAAATTGGCTCAAGTCTTTTTAAGCATTAAAGACATTGAACTCTTCAGATGAAGAGTTCAGATGTAAAAACCTCTTAAGAGTCTGAAATTTTCTTCTAAACTGAGCATTTTTCTCAGGTTCTGGTTTGTAGAAGTCATTCCATTTTTCTGGCGAATAATATGTTTTTAATGTGGAATAGCTGAACATACCCATTAAAACAATGCTAATTTACGAGAACATTTTAGAGCTTCAGAATGAAGTTACTTCTGTAAAACTTTGAATCTGATGTAGAATAATGTCATTATTTTAGATGCTAATTACAGACTGTGGCCCAAAATCTAAAAAATACAAGTTTTAACCCAATATTGGGTGAAATATGGAAAAGATCTAGTGCAGAGTTCTGGTGCACTTCATGAATGATAGATGATCAGGTGAGCAATTTTTTTTATATTCCGTGTATATTTCTGTGCAGAATTTTGTCCGGATATTTTTTTGCAGAATGATTTTGAGAGTATTGTAACTAAAAACCAATTCATGAAATAAAAATATTATTTAAGGCTTACAATGCAAATCAAATTAGAACCAAAAAATTCTGCAGATTTCTGTGGGTGCACTACTTTGTAGGCCTAACATAACTGATTACATACATGCTTTATTTGTGCAACATATTTCAGGAATGATACGATTTTGTAGTATTCAGGTAATATTATGTAATAAAGAATTGTTACCAAATGTTTTCGATAACAATTTTTCTAAGCTGCATATCTGGTTTTAAAGAATTAAAAAAATATATATCTTAGTTTTCCTGTTTTGTAATTCAGATGGTGCTTTTTCCTGATTGTTGTTCCTGCTAGTTTGAGCAACAAGTTTAAAGTTGGCATGAAGCGGAGGTTAAAATATATATATTTTTTAAATTTGCTAGGTTGTTTTAACCCAATATTGGATGAAATTTGGACAAACCCCACTGCAGGGGTTATATGCATTTCATGAAATAACTTATAATTGGTTCTATAAATGCTTCATTTGAGCAGCGCATTTCAGATTAAAATGTTTTCTAAAGTTGTTACAAAAGATTTATGGATACTCTATAAATTTCTAAGTTGCAGATATGATTTTGGAGAACAAAAAAACTCTTAATTTTTCTTGTTTATTGTTCAAATGACTCTTTATTGGATTGTGGTTTCTGCTAGTTTGAGCAACTAGTTTAAAGTTGCATGAAACTGAGGTTAAAGGGCTTCCTTCATTATTAGTATGTGCGTTTAAGGTGCTGTATGTACGTTTTTGACTCTTCTAAACCATAAAAGTACCATAAAATGTTTACAGATATTTAAGAAAAATGCTCATTGTATTGTCTTGTTAATCTGAGAAGTGCGGAAGTCAGATATTCTGCTTTGAAAATGTAAGTTACATGCTGAACGTCTGTCTTTGTTTTGTTTTGCCTTGGTGGAAAACCGTGTATTTCATTTATTTAGTCAGAAAGACTCTCAGAGTACCATGTATAAGCGACTGAAATGCGACCTCCGGTGGACAGTAGCAGACTCCGAAATGAGACGCAGATTCAGAGTTCCACATGAGGTGGTTATTCATTAGCAAATAATATAAATATTATGAACAAAAACATTAAATGAGCAGGTTACAGGTTGTAACCCTGTGTCCTAACAACACGCTACGTGATGAGATTTGCAGTGATGAGCAATTTGGCTGTTTGCACCAGACGCAATACGACAAATTTAGCCATTCAGAAGCAGAGAATATGTACTCTCTTACGAAATGGTTTATAGTCTATTTAATACGTATTAAACTTCGTTAACATTATAAAATGTGCATGCTAAATCACTGATATGTGTTGGTTTGCACTGAGTCACAGTTCTAAAGTTCAATTTCAAAAGATTTATTTTATTTTCAAGATCTGTGGTATATATGATCTGAAGTAAATCTGCTGCTGCTTTCAGTACCTGGCAATAAATGTGATGTAAAATGGCATTCAAACTCCCATTATTAGCATTTAACACTGAATAAAGCACATAAGGTGTAGCTGAGGTGATCATTGTCAGCTTTCTGTGAGAAATAGAAGACGTTTCTAAAATATCAATTTCAAGTGTTGGTCAAATGTTGGAACAAAAACTTTTTCACATGTAAAATATTCCTTCTATCGGGTACCATTGTTATTTATTTAGAACATAACTTAAATCAGCCTTTGTGCTTGACAGTCAGGCACACTGCTGTTGGTGTTGTCAATCTGGCAACCTGGGCTTGCATTTGTTTTGAACCAGGTGTGCAATACCTAGTTCAATCACTGAGTGTCAAACTTACATATTGCACCTTTAAGTGAAACACAAGAATAAGCAAAGATTTAAATTGTATGTCTGGAATTGATTGAATTGCTGTCTTTTGCTCTTGATGTGATCTTATTTGACACCATGATTTACACATTGACCCTAAATTGCATAGAAAGGTTGCTGGATGAACAACTAGTGTACATGAATGTTTAACTGCCTTTATTATGCTCTTTCACATAGAACACATTTTGTGTTATAAAGTTGTATGTGAATATAAAAGTACTGCCAAATATCAAAGGTCGAAGTGCAATATAAACTGTTACTGCTGTATTATTGTGTTTTCTGCCTTGTGAAAAGCAATCCTCAATTAAAAATGCTGAGAGAAATATAAGGTCATGATCACAAGAAATCAAGAAAGGCAAAATTTATTACGCATTTTTCACACACATTCTAGTCTTAATAAATTATTTAAGGTTTGTCATAGAACAGAGTTAAGGACAAAGAATGAGTGAAGATATGTACACTTTACAACACAGTTGTTGGGGCCTTTCAATAATAACAAAGCAGATTTTAGCTGTCAGACTTTAAGTCTCCATAGTAGAACTACGGACAGTTGATGAGATGTAGAATTGTAGATATCCGGATACTGCAGAGGTTTTGCATTTCAGAATGGAGAGGTACTTCAAACGCAAAAATGTTTGGGAACTGCTGTTACTGCTAATGGAAAGCAAGATTATTTTGAGTGGCTTTTACTAAGTGCAAAATAACAGTAGCTCCACCCTTCAATGGCAAACAACATTAAGCACAACACATGATTAACAGTTTCAGTGGTGTAGGTAGTGACACCTTGGACATTGTGTGGGTTTGAATCTGGACTTTGCTCGCTCCGTCACATATCACATTAGAATTATTAGGAAATGTAAAGTGGCTAAATTGTATTAAATAAAAAAAAAAAGTGAATTTCCTGCCACTAGACTTTTCTGAAAGGGTATTCTGCCAGGTCATCAGGTATCAGAATTTAACATTAAAGGAACTGCCAATATCAAAATTTAGCAGTTTTTAAAAAAATTCATTGAGCATGAACGTATGAATGTAATAAAATGTCATGAATACTAATAACAATAATAAAATAATAAAATGAATACTTGTTTGTAGTAAAAAGAAATTAAATTTCTTTTACATTTGTGGGTCTCCTTACTTACTTGTACAGCCATGTGCAGTTGTATCTTATGTATTTAGGGAAACTTCTCGTACGTCTTCTCAAAACTTCCCCCCTTTAATTAAAGGGTTATCTGACACTCCCTCTACTTTTTTAATTCAAATTATAAAGACTTTTAATTGTGGTAAAGAAGAAGCTGAGCCAAAAGGCAAAGCTCTTGATTTACTGGTAAATCTACATTCCTACTTTCACCTATGAATGAATGAACGTCAATGAATATGAGTGCTGTTTAAAAGCACAGCACTTTCACGTTTCGTGCTTCTCGCAGTATTGTATGTTCTGTTTGACACCTGAGAAAACGAGTCTTAAAGCATTCAATTCCCTACACCTTCATGCTCTGTTTTAAAGGCCAAGGGATAGATGTAGGGGAAGCAATATGAAACAGAATTGGGGTTGGACTTAAGAACTTTTCCGTCTATTCTATTTTATTACAGCTTGTGTGTCATCTGTATCGCTAAGTTTTGAGTTCAGAAAACCTAGTCTTACATCAGTTTGGTACACTTGAATAATGTGACATTGACTTGCAGTGTTAAAAGAGAAAGGAGGGCTGGATAACATGACTGATTTGGGGTGGATATATCTTACTTGTTGTGAAATTGGATACT